AAATGACCAGTGTATTAAGAATAGTGCACTCTTCTTGCACTAATCTTGCCCTAATTTTCACACCAGTTTGAGTTACTTTCTATTTGTTTAATTATTTCTTTTACAGGGCTTATAGGCCATACCAATTACAACTGACTCCAAGCCATCTGAGAAAGCAGGACTTCAGTCACCAGATGTAGTTCAGTTTTTGCTTCGCCAATGAAAAACTAAGGCCTACCCTCCCCCTTTGCTGAATTATTTTGGAATCACTCATAAGCCTCCTCCAAGATCCTAATTAAGACTCATAGATACACATGAAAACTTAGAAGCTCATTTTGGGAATCTAATTGTCCTTCACAATTATTTTCTTTGCAAAGAAAGGTATGTAGAAAATCATCTTTTCAGAAAAAGTTTAACAGATATGATTATTTCTCTCTTACTGCCTAACTTGTTGCTGGAAGAGAGAGCCAGTAACAAATGGTTGAGATGCTGAATTAATCTCACCAATCTCTATAATGCTATAATGATAGCTGAATGGTTCAATATAGAAAAGTAGTACTGGACACTGAAAAAAAGGGGAAAGTTCATCTAATGAGATATTTCTCAGAACTAACAAACATCAAAAGTTTTGATGTTGGGCATGCATGCAAATTTATGGTTCCTCCCCACAACAATCATGGGAGAAAAAAGTTCTAAAGTAAGTTTGTTTTAGTTATCTCAATCAGATCAACCACATTTGGTGGTTGTAGTCTTTGACGTATATGAAAGGAAAAACAACTGTGGGAGGAGGAATATTAATGAAAGGCAACTGCATGCCATCCTCTTTGATTAACTGAAAAGAATACAAGGCTCTGCCATTGCCAGCTCTCAGGACTGTGCAGAATATTATTAGATTAAAAAGAATGCTGTGTCAGGGTGAAACTTTCTAAGAGTTCATATCCACAATTTGCATATATATTATGAACTTGCTAAGCAAGATCTCTTCAACTCTATTAAAGCCCAACTGTTGAAAAAGAAAAAGAAAAAGAAAAAGAAAAAGAAAAAAAATTATCAGCAGGAAAATACTAAGATGTGTGGGCACTGTGTGTAAGGATTAGGAAACATATTCCTTAGGTGAAACTGAGTTTCATCTCAGAGAGCAAAAACACTCTACTGACCTAGGAAACAACAAAAAGCAATAATTGACCATTGTAGAAAATTATGTGGTGCCTCTAGTCAAAATAAAAAAGAAAAGGAAAAAAAAACATATTCAGGTCAAACTTGTTCTTCTTGCTTCTGTCCTATAGCTGTCCATCAAAAGCAGTTTTCTCCCTGCGGTCTATCAAATATTTCCCTCACAAATCAATTTTACACATGATCAGCCCATACCCCTACTGAGCTGAACCTCCCCGTTAATTAAGTGAAGAAATTACCATATATATTATATTAATGCAAACATCATTCAGCTAGTAATTCACGGCTGATCTGGATAATGGAAAGGTTGAACACCCATTAACCCAAGCCAACAAAATGGGTTGGCTGAGAAATTCTAGCAGGTCTCATGTGACTCTTCCCTCTAACTGCAGCTCTGCGGTATCTGCTATTGTAATAATTAAAATCCTCCCGGTCGATCAATACTGGAATCTCTTTATGGGAAGTGCCCTGATGGAAACGTCTCAAGGAAGCTGGAGCTGTGGAACTCTGAAAAATTCATTTTTTTATCTGACAATTATCACCACGCTGCAGACTAATTCAACAGCACAGCCCTCTCACTCCGCTTTGAATGCAATGGAGATTGACATCTAAGAAAACCTAACATCTCATTTTAACAAATAAAGGCACTATTTCCACATACAGTTGAGAATTATCAGCAATCATGAAACCAGACAAAAAATTAATATACATTAAGCACTTCATCTTCTGATGGCTTCCTCTGAGTTTCAGTTATCGCTGCCTTCTCCTCATTGCCTCTCTTTCTATCTTCCTGTATTGATCTCTGCCTTTTCATCTCTGAAAAAAAAAGGAGAGGAAAGACATGAAAAATTATTATAATACTTGATATTTGTGTATTGAAAAGTGGACTCACCATATTATTTATTGTTAAATATTATTAAGTCATAAGGTTGGGGCTGGAGGAGAATTTTTTTAAAAGAGCATTTCTGCCTACCTGGTCTGCTTTCAACATATTGACTGAACGACTGAAGCTGCGTTTTTCTGACTGTTGAATCCTTGCTGAAAACAACAGGATTTCTAAAACGTTCAGCTGCTTTTTGGAATCGCTCAGCATGTTCCTCTGTCTCATTCTGCCAGAAAAACAGAACAAAAACAAAAGTGAGCATCACGTTCTATTGTTTATAACTGCAAACAGGATAATCAGGAAGGTGGATTTCAGGAGGAGAGCAATATGCAGAGAAAAACCAACTACTCAGTTGCTTGTGTCAGATAACAATTATACCAGGAGCCAAAAATGCACGGGACCTCCCCAAAGAGGTTTTGGCAAAATAAGCTCCTTTGGTTATTACTCTGGCCACGGCACTTCAGCCGGGGTTCTTGGAGATACCAAGATCTGTTAGCAGCATCCACTCTGACTGGAGGCAAAGATTACCATTTGCCAACTGGGATACTCAGAATACCATGTATATATTAGGGTTCCTAGAACAGTATGTATATTTTAAAACATCATATCTCTGTTTAATTTGCATACTGCCTCTAGTCTTTTGCACACATGATTTGCCCCAGTAAAAAATTCGGTCATTCTGAATGGAGCCACGTATTCTTCTTGTATAATATGAAGAATCTTTTCTAATTTTATGTCCATTGAGATGAGTCACTAATGCTGGATGGCAAATAAAAAGTAAGGTTATAACACCATCCCGGTACACTGTGTTTCATTAGCCATAACTTTATGAATCCAGATTTATAAATAAACCCTTTGACAGCTAAGGAAACTACAATTACCATTTTCCAGAGCTTCCTATGGTAATACATTCAAATGGATCTATCAATGTGAAATATCCCAGAAGACTAAACCACCGCCGTGTGTGGAAACTGCAGATACCGAGATGCTGTGTACCAAACAAATATTTCATTTTATACCTAATCTATTATTATTTTTATTAAGTGTTTTGAAAGTAAATAGGGAAAGGCTAAGATGCATGACTAATAGCTAAGCCTGCTGAATGCTGAAACTGGTTATCAAAAGCTACCAAGACTTTGCCCTTCCTCTGCATTGAGACAATTGGTAATGAGGGAGTTCTCCAACGGCCTATTCTCTAGCCTCAAGGAGGCCTGGGATACAGAATCCTCCAGGGAAGGTAACAGTTTATCCTTTTCCACAAACACAGAATGCCTATTTATAAATGTGTAAACTGCATTTTATTAGAAACACAAATCCAAGTCAATGCCGAAAGCTCTAAGTGAACAGATGGACACCACATATTTTTTTCATGCAGCATTAAAGAAGGTGTTCGGATCCAGCTATACTTTTTGTAGCACTAACTAAAAAAAAAAAAAAAAGGAGAACACAGCAGAAATGAAAGGTCCTCTCCTTCAGTGTGTGCAATTAGAATAAAAAGTGTTTTTCTGGGGATGGGGGGGTGCCTTTTTATCTGAATGAAATTGGCCTAATGGAGGGAACTAGTCAGCCATTTATGGAGTTAATTTTATTTCTTAAAAGCATCACTCATTCTAGAATTATTTTTCAACAATCAAGATGCGATAATTTCATTCTTCTAAGAAAAGGATCTCTTCAAGCTCTTCATACAACAGCCATTTGACAGTCGAAATGCAAGTCTTTACCAAAATAAACAAACATGGCTAATTTTTTAGGCTGGCAACATGTTAAAATATCAGTGCGATTAGCCAGTAAATCCCATTTTAAGAAGCCTTTTTATGACTAGGGACTTCTGCCACTTTACAAATGTATTCCTCTAAGCCCACTAATTCAGTTAGCCTTTTCAATCCATTGTATTATTCCAAGGCCAGCTTCATTTTGCATTAAATCCACTGCAGAAAGCTAAATTGAACGCAAAAAATCAGACTTGATCCAAGCTTCTCTTTGTTCAAAGATAGAGACTGAAAGTCCTCTGCTGCTGCTGCTGCTGCTGCTGCACTTTCATCACCAATTTATCGGAACCGACAGTGTAAGGGAAAAAGCAATGAAAGTCATTGTTTTGAGACTTCAAAGCATCTCTGTATCTGGGGAAGGAAATCCTTTCACTCAGCAGGCCATACACCCCCAGTCTGCAGGTGGGTGAAAAGTTATACAAGTGGACTGTCCTCACAGCCATCCAAATCTTTTCCCTTAGGAGTAATAGCTATGGCTAATGAAGACAATAAGCTGAGTAGATGCACCAACAAATCTATCAAAGCTTATGTATATGTAGACAAGTCCCTGCCACCGACAAATAATACGGCAGAATGGCTCTACTGCTAAGACACAAATGCATTTCCTATAATCCACATCTTAAAATCATTTAGAGTTTATGCAAAAGTTTAACTAAAGATGCCACTAAAGCAAGAAGAAAGAGTAATTCTTAAAACAGGCCCCAAAGGAGCTTTACCCCACATTAAAGAACTAGCTTAAGAAGGTAGAGGGTACAATAAGTGATTTAAGAGTTGAAATACATTTCCAAATATGTGTTAGGGCAATATGTTTATTAGGCCAAATTAATATTACAAGACTGTGACAGCTTTATATTACTGGCTTTGAGTTAGCCAGTAATATGAATTTCGGTATTTTTCATACAGCCAATACACCCATAAAGAAAAATGGATTTTAATTAAAATAAAGATTACCAACATATAATCTATTATTTCATAGCATAATAGCCAAATGAAGCCATCATAATTAACCAAGTTGCAATTATGAGAGAAATATCTATCAACACATAGGCAAAATGTAATTCAAATCTCTTTATATGGCTATAAAAAGTGGTTTTACAGCACTGTAAACTTTGAAGAACTTAGAAAAAAATTGGGATTCTTCACTATGAAATGCAAATCAGAATCCAAAAGGCACAGGTATTACAGGAAAAGTTTTTTGTTACCGTAAACATTGGCTCAGTGGTATCAGTAACTGGTTTTGGAGTTGTGCTGGAAAGTGAATTTGCCACCTGTGGCTGAGCGTCTAGGAGTTTCTTCAGCTTCAAATCCACCAACTTGCTGTTCTGTTCAGCTACATATGCAAAGACCACAGTGCAACACAGAGAGCAAGAAAGAGAGAGAGAGATTTAATGCAGAGTTACTATAATAATGCATCTATTTAAAAAACAATATTTGTATTACTCTAGTTGTAATCTTTAAATTGCAGCTGATATGGAAATCGAATACAGAATGTAGAACTTAAGAGATATTACAGCAATAATGATTTGCCCATGAGGTAAAAGGGAAAACTGAATCCTAACAATACATTTTAAAAATGGACTCTGTTTTGATTCCTGCCTTCATCCCGTTCCAACTCAGTAACTTTGGGGCTCCTGGTGTATTATGGCCAATAAGTAAATGCATTTATATAAATGAAATCCAACTGATTTTCCTACAATTTGTTTAGAAGTAAATTTATTTAGGGCTGAAGATATCAAATTAATTTTATCAATACAGCTGGGTGGTAAACTCTTCTTCCTGCAATATGCACTTATGTAATGTATCTTTTTTGTTTTATATTTAAACATTAATTCTAAGTATATTTTATTTCAATTAATTTCTGCTGAATTCAGAAGTTGGACTAATCATACTTCAGCAGCACATATTGATAAGCTGTCTATGAAACAATCTAACCAGGGTAATAATCTGATGCATGTATATATTCGTTATTTTAGTGATCTGAAACATGAAATAGTTATTTGCACATTACTAAAGGACTTAACATTTTCTAAATATTACTCTGAGAACAGTTACAACATAACAAATACTGTAATTTATGTTATTAAATTTAGAAACATATCTTGGCATATCCTTGTACTTTCTACTTTGGTTTGAATGTTGAAAATGTCACTATGCTCTCAGTTTATACATAGTATTGTTTTCAGCCTAATCCATTCTTCTGTAATCTGGTGTCCTCCCAACTGACATTTTCATTGGAAATGATGGGAACTGTAGTACTGGAGAAAGGTGTCCAGACCCATTATTTAAGCAAGATGGCAGCTTCAAGTTCAGTTGGACTGCTTGTATAAGTACTGCTTAATTTCCACTTTAGAATATTGGGAAAGTGCAGTAATTACAATCTTCATGAGTTTCAGCCTTGCCATGTTGGAACTAGTGAGAGGCAAAGCAGCCTATTCATATACAGTATAGTATTATATGAAGAATTTATCCTGAACAAACTCCATGTTTCTTCAAATGAGACTGTGGACACATTCTTTATTTATGGATTCATATCCCATTTTTCAGCCAAAAATTCTACAAATGGCCTTCTTTCAGCTGAAGGCCATTTGTAGAATTTCCAACGGGCAAAATGCTTTTATAGCCTCATCTCTAATCCTTGGCCAGGGTGTCTTTATTTTCACTTGTCAGGTCAGGAACTAAGGCTGAAATGGTTTGTCAGTGTCTGCTTGATCAAGAATTTGAACTCAGTCTTCTAGCCATACATGTAATAGCTACATTCATTTCTCCATCAACATCTATATGAAAAAGTGAGAATAACAGGTCTCACTATATATATTATAGTAGGTAGAGCTAGGCTACTGTGAGCCAAAGAAGATATAATGCTGGAAGATCTTGATAATTTCTCCTGCCATTTTTAACACTTTTAATAGCAGCTGCATGGAGTAGGGAGAGGAAAATCAGATTAAAACCATGGCACTGAGAGTATGTGTGTGAATCCTTTCATCTTGGGTTGCTTATCCAATGTCTTCCTCTCCCTCCAGTGCTGCAGCCATAATCCAATCGCCTAGCTTTTAAAAAAGTGAGGATCTGATTACAGTTCCCTTGATATCCTATCTAGTTGTATGATTGTAACATTCAAAGTTCGATCAGCAAAATATGCTCCTTATTCTAAAAACAGAAAAGACTGAAACCTTTCACTAAGACCCTCCCTAAACAAAATTACTACTCACATATTAAACCATTTTAAGAGGTGGGGAAATAGGAACTGCTGTGGAGAAGTGTTAAATGAATTTGAATGTTCCCAGTTTAAATCTCACCACCGCTGAATTCTTTACATGGCCTTTCTGTATGAGCTTCAACTTTCTTCTGCTGCACAGAGTTCTAGGAATTATGAGGAAAACACTCTGAATATGCTAATATTACTGAAATAAAAGAAAATGTCTTCATTCTACAAAAAGAAACGGAAGGACGTGAAGATGATTTTAAGGGAAAAAAACTTATGAGTTCAATCACATCTTTCCTGAATTCTTGAACATTCCTCCCCACCTCCATCCAGCAAAAGAAGCCCTAGAAGAACTTACTACCAGGCTTTTTACTGGAAATAATCTAGGAGAATTAAATACCAAGTTCTGGTTCACAGCAAATACAATAGTCTGACAGAAATCCAGAAAAGACCACCAATCTTCAATGCTACCACATTCTCTCTCTCTTTGCTACACTGTATGTGTTAATTACTAAAAGGCTTTTTCCTTCAAGAAACTGTTTCTATCATTATAATATTCTGAATACAGATGAACCTGATTTCAGACCAAATTGCAGTAAATAATTTTTAGGAAAGGGAAAAATGTATATTGGATATTGTTGCCAGAAAGAAGGGGGGAATAAAGAAAAGGCCAACAACAGCACAGAGGATCCCTATAATGTGATATTTCAGTGTACTTTGTAGCACAGAAGAAAAACTGTCTCTTGTAGGTTCAGCTTAAAGAAGTCTGAAAGTAGATTACTATCATTAGTTTCAGAGAGACAAACTTATTAGTTGAATAGCTTCATCCATCCATCCATCCATCCATCCATCCATCCATCCATCCATCCATCCATTGCCTGATTCTGGGGTGACTCTGGGCAGCTTACATATTAAAAAATGAAAAGAAAACAAGGTATATCAAGGAAAAAGAAAACAACCAATCAGAAGACAGAACCAAAACCTCCACAAAAACCCAAACAGCAAAAAATCAAAAACAAAAAACAAAATGAACAAACAAACAAAAAACCAAACTAGCCCCCATCCTAAGTAAGATGTTGGAGAACAACCAGAGTCTAGCAGTTTGTGGAAAGTCAAAAGAATGGGAGCATATATGTTAGACTTCTTCAAAACTCTTTCAATTTTTTTGTCAAATCATGGCCACTTTTGAGACTCATTACACCGCAACTGGCTTTAACTTAAGTATATAGTTCTGGATCAGGATCTGTCCTCAATTTAGATCATTTGCATCAAACAGTGCCTTCCTAACAGTGCTCTTGAAAGACTAGAAAGCATTATATTCCTTTACAATGAATAGTAAGTTTTGAACTTGTGTTTGCTGCCATTAACATGAATATACTTGACTGGAACAAAAAAGTTGCCATGATTATAGGAATTGTGTAATTGTATCCTTATTGCTCAGGTTGTACATTTCATTTGCCAATTTTTTGTCAACATTTCTTGTTTCAAATGATCCATAGCCTTGACCTATGCTTTGTGATATACATATATTGTTGGAATTAAGACTCAAAATCCAGTAGGACATAATTCCAAACAAATGTGCACAGGACTGCTATGACAGCCTTCAAGTATAATTGTTTTTACTTGTAATTCACAAAACACTTACAGGCTTTTGGCAATAACAACAAATACTAGTGTATGAAGAACTATGTTTACCAATTCCCATTACATTTACATTCAGTATTGATAACAAATGTACTCCAGAAATTAAAAAATACCAACCCTTAGTTCATTGTTAATTGTAACATTGCTAAAAATGCATGAGAAGGCATTTATGAAAAGCAAATGAATCGAAGCAATTATAATACTATGCTAACAAATTACATGGTACTGACAATGAAATTAAAGTTAGTCACGGAAAGGTTGTAAAATAGCCATGTAGTTGAATTACCATCAGAATCAAGCTCATTTTCTAGGTTAGTATGTTGATCTTCACCACTAGTAACAGTGTGCTCAGGAATCTCCTCATTAGAAACTATCACAATATTATCACTCCGATCCCCATCTGGAAGAACATGCCATAGTAAGGTTAGTGAATTCTTGTCTTGTACATGCATCACTTCAATGAAAACATTAGTATTTTAGAGTTAGTTGAGCACATTAATCAACAGCACAGAAAGGAAAAAAGTTAGTGAAATGTAACAATTGGTTGACAGAAAAATCATATCCTTTATTTAAATTATACATTACATGCACAGTATTTACATGCATTACTATATGAGTATATAGATGCTATCTATTATTGTTCTGCAAATTCAAATTTAGTTTTCACCAATTGAAATGTAGATGTTTCAGATGTTTGCTGAAATACAGATTTTCAGAAAAACCTTTTCCCACATTTCACAAAAGCAGATATTCTTCTCCTGTAAGTCTACTTAAAAAAAAAAAAAAAAGTACAAATCTTATATCTATCCATTTCAGCCAAGCAGAGGAACCTCCAGTTTCCATAATCTGGAAATCTAGCAAGATTGAATATGGAGCAGAAAAAGAAATCTGAAGGAAAAGAGGGAAATCTCAAAAATAAAAGTTCCATCTCTTTTTTCTTTTTTTAATTGAAACATGTTTTTTGTGAAGTATTGAAACAAAATGTTTAAATTAAAAAAAATAAAAAACCAAAATTAATAACTACAAAAAGGAGAAAAAGAAAAAAGTAGTGTATAAAAGGATAAAATATCAGTAAAAAAGCAGGGAGTTTGCAATTGTCACAAAAATTAAAGTTCAATATTTTATTAAATAATTGATTATATAGAACTGACCACATTGTATAATTTTAAAGAAAACTAAAAAATCTCTACAGAACTCTGAACAAGATGTTAATATCACCACTATCATTATTCCAAGGATAAATGAAAGTAATCCTCATAAAGAGGAAACAAAGAGAAAAAGAAAAATCAATAAAAACATTATCAGAAAACTACTTGAATTTAAATTTCCTCCAAAATGTTCTCAACCAAAAGCTTTATCAATGACCAATACTTTACAAAAGACAGAGTGCGCTAGAAGCCACTAATATTAAGAAGAATACTACCTCTGAAGCAATAAATGCTCATCATGATGATCAGTTACTGACAGTCTTATCCTCCATGAATCTGTCAAGTCCCTTTTAAAATCTGTCCAAGCCAGTGACCATGGCTACAACTTGTGGTAGCAAATTTCATAATTTAATTTGGTATAATGGAAAGAAGTAATTCCGAATTGTTCACCATTCATTTGACGACTTACATCCCAAATTTATAAGAGGGGAAGGAAAGTAAGCAGCAGCCCATTCCTATTTTCAGGGTCACTGTACAGAACAAAGAGGATAATGAAATAAAAATCTAGGTACAGAACAACAAATATCTGGGCAGATTAAGAACCACTGCTGCAGCCTGGAAAAAAACAAACATAAATTTGCCTTCTTTTCACTTCCAGATGAAAACTTCACTTCCATTCTGTCTACAAGTAAGTTCTATCACTTCCCTTTCAGAATCTGCTATTAATTAATATAGCAATAACCATCCATATACCTCATAAGCTACCTCTTATTCACAGGGAACACAGACTTAATAATTTAAAAGGCTGCATCTGAGGCACTGAAGCCACATGTGAACATGGAAGGTTCAGTAGAGCAAAATGGGGTCCAGGTTTGCACCACTTGACTTTTCAGTCAACTATTATTAGCGAAACAACAATCAGAATTATCCTTGAATACTTGGGAATATGGGCCCCTGAAACTAAAATACTGGTCCAAATGAAACACACGCATTCACAAGTAAATACGTTCTCTTATTTATGTTTCTTACTGTCATTTTGTGGTCTATGCAGTGGAGTGTTTCAAAACAATACACAATATGCCAAGATGGAAAAACTTTGCTTAGACTCAAGACCTCACTATATTCCAAAACACTCTTTTGCTGAAACTTTAAATGGAGCAAGAATACTGATCCTGTACTGATTTCAGTCTTTTGGTAAAACTGTGAAAGTCACTATCTTGCATAATTCCTGAATCATAATTCTAGTCTCAGTGGCCCAGAAAATAGTCATTGGTCTTATTGAATTAACTATGACTTTCTGGATGGTTTCCTGTTTAGGGTGCTTATACTTAGGACAGGAAGATTGTAAGATCACTTCCTGCTGTCTAGGGACCAAAAGATGGGTCAGAGCATGACCCATAAAACAATAAAAGAATAAAAACAAAAAGAATAAAAACAATACAAATTGTAGCATGACCCATATTTATGACAAACACAAGAGGCCAGTTTGGCAGATAAAGTGGCCAAGTTCCATAAGCCATTAGGACAGCAAATAGAAAACCATCTTAATGATAAACATAGAATAATTTCAAAGTTTGAAGGATCCATGATTGTCTAGATTCAACTATCATACTCTGAACCCATGAAGAGCAACTGGAGTGAGAAATGTGATGACTATGGCAAAATATGAAGATAGCTCTCAGGGGACCTTCTAATACAGAGCAAATGAAGCCTACAGGACTAGTAAAATAATCTTGGGATGAGACCATTCTAGAGATGCTCCAATTTTTCAGTTTCCAGAAAATGACTCCATAGGAACTGACTATGTCCTGGCACACTGGTTGGTGTCGATTCCAGTAACCTGGATCTGAGCTTTGAACCAATAACCTAAATGTTTTTGAGTATTCCTTTCTAAATGAATAATTGTATGAGCTTCTTTTAACTTGTCCTGACGTAATGGCATACCAATGTTGCTGATACAAGGAATGGCTCCCCAAATATAATTATGCTCTCATAGTATACACTTCTCAGGTTTTAATCTGTGGTAATCACCATTCTCCTTTCCAGAGGATTACGTTTTGATGTGAAAAAAGGGCTCAATAGCTTCAGGGACTCTGAAAAAATTCCAGCTGACACTGCTACTAGGGTCAGATTTGTGCCTCCATGAGCTCTGAAGCACCTTACTGGAATTGAATCCAAAGTATTGCACAGCCCTTATATCAATTATAGTGGGTATCAAATGAATTTCAGTGTTATACATTCTTATTGCAATATATTCTTATTGCGGAACAATAGAGGAAGACACTGAAGAATTTATAGTAAATTGTCAGATGGGCTAAATACAACATGTAGAAAGCACATACTATAGGTGTATATTCCACACTTAGGCATCACCAATAGACAATACCAGGTAGACAATATTGGCATAATCAATTCAACTATGTAACAGGAAAGAGAAGATGGAGAAAGCCAATCTAGTCAGCCAGAACAGTTTCAGGGGCGGTTTGTGGAAAGGAATACGAATTTTCAGTATTAAATGTATGACTTAAACTCAGAAAATTAAAGGCAGTAAGTGTGTCAGCAAGATTTAACCTGGAGGGTATATATAAGATCAATGTAAGGAACATATTCAGTATACTTAATTTATATGAAAGAGAACCTGAGGAGCTACCGGAAGAGATAAGAAACATTGTGAAAACGGAAGCAGAAAAACATATTCCCAAAATTTCAAAGGAAAAAGGATTCAAGTGGCTTTCAGAACAAGCTATCATGATAGCCAAGGAAAGCTGGACGATGAAACCATTTGGCAACAAGAATGGACAACAGCTGAAAGCAAACTTTATCAACTAAGAACGGACTAAGGAAGATAATGTCAACAAACAGAGGAAAATAATAAGAAAATGAGAGATGGTTTTCAGGAAATGACAGAACTCATAGGAAAATTTACAAGTAAAGTAGAATTACTTAAGGTTAACCATTGAAGAGATCTAACAGAAGCAATGAGATTCACAGAAGACAGACTATTGTATACTGAAATATTTTATAGACAGGATAATGGAATGACAAAAACATTTGTAGCGAGAGAATATATTCCAGAACCAAGTCTACTAAAAGTGAAGTATGAGAAGCAATAGATCAGCTGTCAAATAGGAAAGAACCCGCACAGATGAAATGTCCAGTAGACCATTTAAAGCTTCATGAGAAGAAGCAGTTAAAGTGTTAACGGCCAGTGGCATCCTTGGGAGAGGACCAAGGAGGGGCAGTCTGATAAAGGGAATGTTACACTGTCACAACACAAATCTTGTTCAATTTGTATGTGCACTGTGATGTCACACATGCACCAAAAAGAGGTGGAGCTTGTAATGTGTCAGCACAATGCTGTTTTTGTCATTTTGATGAAAGCAGGTAACTTACGTGGATGTCCATATTAAATGCTCTATGTCAACATATATGGAAGAATACTGTGTGGCCTAGAGTCCAAAAAGTGTGTCAGTGTATATGTCATTGTGTTCGTGCTCTCTTGAAACAGATGTTCAGGAGAATGCGCAAACATTTACTTTTGCTTTAATAATTATAGCAAGCCCTTTAATTGTGTAAAACATGTCAGGGTGTAGAATATGTTAATATGAATGGGTGTGTCAGAACACTTGATTATTTTTCTGAGGAGTCTTTGCAATGAACAAGAAGTGTTATAAGGGCTGAGTTTGGAGAAACAGAATGCTTCAGAATAGGCTAGGATTGAGAAGATGTAGAGAGTAAGGGAGATGACTTTGACAGACATATGCAGGCTTTGTTGTCCAGGCAAACATTTTTTAAAGTTCAGTATGTCCAGATAACATTTGGAAGCAGCTCAGACAGGCACCTCCTTAATTCACTGACCTATAAGAAGGAGGTACAGCACACTCAGACTTACAAGATTCTGTTATTATAGCCAATCTTAATAAAAGTAATTTTAGCTATCCTGTGGAGTTCATTTCATGGTCTAGTCTACCTAGTGGGGCTGACAGATGAGGACTTGTTCTGAAAATCTATTAAAGGATTAGCATGTTTGGAAGAGATGACAGACAGAATCAAAACTGTAGATTGAGACACTAACAATCTGAGATATGCAGATGATCCCACTTCATTAGTTGAAAGCAAGGAAAACCTCATAGAGTTTATTACGAAAACCAAAAAAGGCAAACCAAAAAATGTAGGGTGGTTTTAAATATTAAAAAGATAAAATTAATGTCCACTATCATCTTAGTAAATTCAGTTTCCAGCAAAGAAATGA